ATTAATTGAAAAAAAAATTGAAAAATGAAAAATGCATGATCCTTAATATTTGTTTATTTATTAGCAGACAGTTGGCCACTATACAGAAACAGTAGCAGTAGATAGTTTGTAGTTATAGTCCAGTATGTTTGGTATTTCCTAATAAGCTTCAAGTACATAATTATATCTATCTACAGTCAATTCTCAAATATAAGTTTCTAACTTTTTGTGAAAAGAATTTCAGTCAAATTAAATGTAATAGTTCTCATGAGAGACAATATTCAAGAAGTTACTAAAGTGAAAGTAAATATCAGCATTGTTTATATCAAGGTATTGTTCGTTAACAAAAATAACCCACCGCCTAAGGTGTGTGGCAACCATCGTCTATCACTCTCTTCCATTTTCAACCCGATCAAAAGAAATTGCATCAACTTAACTAAAACTTAATCACATTATCTGATTCTTTTTCCTTTAAATACTATATCTCCTATTCTTTACAGTCATCTAAAAAAGCCCATTCCAACTTATTACCTCTCTGAGTTTACCAGGAGGAGAATCCTTGGATCACATAAGCCTCTGATAAAATATCAGCAGATTTCTGACTACCTCAGATTTTTCTGACAACTGTCAAAAACACAATCTCAAAGAGAGACATGGAGGACAAGGAGAGGAAGGGTAGAGGAAGACATCTTAAGACTACCAAGTTACAAGATAATGCTATAGTGGAGGAAGCTCTTGAAAATTACAATACTACCTACTTTGAGAACCAAAAGGTTGCCACCAATATTTTTTCTATGACAGCCAGGAGAAGACTTGTATAAAGGCATCTTAAAAGGTAGTTAGCACAAGAGAGGGTTCACTTAGATGAGAATCTAGCTCAGGAGAGATTGGAATAGTTATTGGCTCATAAGTACTGGACAAGAGAGATGTGGAAGAGAAAGACAATGTGGGGAGATGAGATTACTGTTCAGAGGAGAGGAGGAAAGAGGAGAAAATGAGTATTTAGGTACCCAAAAGAGAAGTAGAATAAGGATTGTATAGAACCTACTGCTAGGATAGAGGAGAGGAAGATTAGCCAGATGATAACTGGCTTTTTTATGGTCAAACTCATGGTCTCTTTTTGCCTATTTTTCCTGATCCTTGTTCTGCTGAAGGTGGAGTAACCGGAACATCAATTATTGAGGGTTATGATCAATATGACTTTACAGGAATATGGGAAGATATTAAGCAGCATTTTGAGGGGAAAGAGATTTTCTTTATCATTGATAATGCTAAAACTCATTTACCTTTTAGGTGATGGCTCAGAGGGCAGAGAATTACTCTTATGGAAATTTCAGCCTATTCACCAGATCTCAATCCAATTGAACATGTTTGGACTCTGGTGAAAGATAAGCTTCAGGAGCATTATCCTGACTCATATCTCATGAAGAGCTTTAACAATGCGATCAAAAAAGCTATTGAGGAGACTATTACTACTTCTTAAGAACTTCTTGACTCAAAGACTTTTGATTCTCTAGCAGGTTCAATGGCAGATATGACTAAAGCAATTATTATAGCAGATAGATGGTACACTAAATATTGATTTCTACTATGTATTTACATTTTTTTAAATTTTTTTTTTTATTATGATCTTAAGGTTGGTGGGGGAGTAGTTGTTGTACAATCAAGTTATTTTTCTGTTCGTTGTAGTTGGTTTTTTTTGTTAACAAACAATAATTTTATACATGTTTGCTATATTAAACACATTACTTTCACTTATCTTGAGCCATTACTTACATAGGAGCTAAATGTATGAATATTCAATTGATATAGTAGATTGTATTTCTAAATCTCAATAAATAGTGCAATCCATCCTATCTATACTTATACCAAGCATGTCCATGAGTGCTATTAAGAGTAAATAGTTGCTGGAAAATTTCATAGAATGGGAGAAATTTCAATTAATTAAGTACCAAATTACTATAGGATAAAGTAGTAGGATTCTGGTAGGCTGTTTCTTCTTATATCTTTACAAGTATAATGGTAGATATACTGTTAATATTCTTAAGCCACATCTTGGCATACTAAACTAGTACAGCATATGTCTTAGCAAGTCTTGCTTCTAGTACAAACTTGTAACGTGTTCACAAGGTGCTAATCACATTCCAGAATAAGGTATGATAGTTGACAGGTAGCCTGCTCTTCCAGAGAGAAGGTAAGAGCTGTGAACTAATGAAGGCTTCAAAGATATACTAAGAAAACTAAAGAGTAATTGTTCAACTAAGTAAATTGAAATACGGTCTGTTAAAGTCTGCCTTTTCCATCATGGAATCAGGAAGTCTTAAATACACAAATCTGTTCATGTCTAGTATGAACGAAACTAATCAAAGGTATTAAGCGATACACTTTGGTAAAACAATATAAGTACTAAAACTATACTAAAAACAAAACATAAAATAAAACTAAGTATCAAATGAGACTTAAAACAAACCAAGTATCAAAGTAATACTTAAAACAAAATAAAAAACAAAACTAAGTATCAAACAATACTTAAAATAAAATCCTTAATCAAGTACCTGTACTGGTTACAAAACATTATCTTTCTAGTTTCTGCAATATTTTCAATTTGTACTGCTGTATCTGTTAGGAATACCGAGATCCGATACCTAGGAACCACCCTAGGTAGGGTAACCTCTCCCGAAATCGAAATCTCAGGTCTCCAACACCCCCCTCCGGCCCCCTTACGGGGCCCGCGCGTCACCATACATATCGATCTAAGTTGCGTCCTGTGAGTATTATACCACAGAATCGAAGGTGTTAAAATAACACCGTATGCGTCGCCGCCGTCTGTCCGACCGGATCCTGTTCGCAGGATATATAAGAGGGGACCTTCGGCTAGGTCTGGGAAGTATAACGGAGTGAATCCGTCAACTACCCAGAAAGTTACTAGGCTTCAAGAACGAGATATCTTCGGCATAGGCCGTACGTAACAGGACTATTTCGCGCAAAAAGATGATGATGAATAGTAAAGGATCTTAATGAAAGACCAATACATTCACATCTACCCTACGATAACCAGAAGAGTCTGGAACTCCTGAGAATACTACCATCGAACCCAATGAAGTTCGAGGAGTGTTACAACTAGGTTCTGGTACATACTGCAACCGAAGGGGTGACTCCCAAACCGGTAACAGTAACCAGAATCCTATTACCCACAGCAACCAAGGGTTACCGACCGAGGGATTATCTACCAATCCTATGGAAAGGCTTCCTGCAGGCAAGTAGGAATTCCTCTGGAAAAGACCTATCGGTTGGGTATGGAGTTATGAAGAGTTGAAGTTAGATGACCTAGAAAGTCGGTAATAACAACTATCTTCGCAGATGCAACCCGCAGACGAAACTGATCATTTCGTCGACAAGGGAGACGATTGGAGCCAACACAGTTCGACTTGAGAATTGGGCCATTTGTCTAAAAAGACTCTCACCATCGGATAATTACTATTGGAAACAGCATGACTTCCAAATAGTCATATTATAATTATCAAAGAGGGTGTGATGATTTTCAGGGTCTCCAGGTGTTCGCACCTTGGAAGAAAACCCGACGTTGCGAGTTATATTGGAAAAGGGTACATGGTTGTATGTTAGTCAGATGTAATCCGCGAACACTCAGACGTGGAATATAAATATCGAAGTGCCTCCCAAGCTTTAGACATCATCAAGCAACGGAGAAGAGACCTTAACAATATAATATTGTTCTTATGATTTTACTTTACTTTACCCTACTTTACTTCGCTCTTAGTAGTCATAAACGAAACGAGTGAAGTCCGAGCCTTCCTAGACAATCTCCGTCTATAAAAACGAATCTCAATCGGCCTAGACAACTCTGAAGTCTATCAGGTTGTCTCCGCCTAACAGTATCTGATACTTTCTATTACCAATAGTAACTTTCTCAAAATGTATAGAAATTTTAATTATAGACAATACTGATCCACTTGTGAAGCCTTGTAGTAAAACTGCACTAGGTTGAATCCTTCTGTAACAGTACTTACAATTTTTTCATAAATAGAACTTGGCAGATTGTTAGGAATACTAGGATCCAATACCTAGAAATCACCCTAAGTAGTGTAACCCCACTCAGAATCTGAATCTCTGGTCTCCAACACCTCTCCCCAGCCCCCTTACAGGCCCGCATGTCATCATACATATCAACCTCAGTTGTGTCCTGTAACTATAATGCCACAGAATTGAAGGTGTAAGAAAAATGCAAGAATAGATAAAATTTTGAAGGAATAGATAATATTTTAAAAGAATGGGAAAAGAAAAGATTGGGAAAAAACAAACTCTTTAACTATACTCAGTGGTGGTAGTCTGAACTGTTGTTTCCAAGTATTTGTCAGTAAGTAGTATGGTTGTGGGAGTTGTTAGCTGGGTGGAGGAGGTTTTTTTTTTTTTTGCCTCAGGAGCGGTGTTGATTACATCAGCAGGTACCATGGTCTGGGACCTTTTTTACCAAGACACTGGGCCTAATTTTTGTATGCCCTCGAGGAAGGGTCTTTCCCCGGGAAAGCCTGTCGCTCACCCTACTCCTCTAGCTCTAAATGGTGTCTGCATGCTTCATTTATGACAAAGGAAACCGGTGATGTTATGATACCGCGAAACTTGACTCACCGGTTCTCAAAAGCATACTCTAAAGGGTTCTCCACAACTCTTAATCTGAGAAACTTAATGCTGCTAAGCAGGGGTTTCGAAAGCACCTAAGTTAAGGTTAGATACCTAGCAAAATCTTACCCGCAGTTTCAGAATACCATAATATCTGAAACAAGTATTCCATGGCTCCCATGCTTAGCCCCCGTTGTGGTAACCACGTGCCACTCTTTGCTCCGAAAGAGTTTCCGTGAAGCACAAACCCGAGTGATTTTAAATGCACAGATCGCCCAATCAGGCCTTGGCAAACGACAATAATTGTGTAACATGCCATGTGCCTGGGGAAAACACACGTCCCCGTCAAACTTCCCACCTCGTGAGCCCCACCACCGCTTAAAATGACGGAGGAACGGAATCAACGAATCGACAGCGCGCTTTCTTCAATAGTGGAAGCCATAATACCAGCGAATCCAGATGAAGATGATGAGATAGCTGATGAGCGACACGAAGCGGCCTTAGAGAGGGCAAGAGCCATGATCAAGAGGTAAGTTAAACGGAGGGTTGAGCATTGCCCACAAGAGAGAGTTATTGACACTTTGGGTGGTAGCCACGGACAGCCCAGCATTGTACCGGATGTGCAGCATATTAGTGACATAATCAAAAAGAGACGTGCGTTTCCTATAAGCCTTCCCCACGATGTTGACAGCAGTTAACACTGATACGGGCGCTGAGACATCAGTTGTTAGGGATAATAAGACCCCTGAACCTGCATTGAAGTTTTCCACTCTATACACGAGGCTCCTAAACCAACGAGTTTTATCGCAGAAATGGGCTATTCTTTATTTACTCCACGAACTTTCAGACTCTCCCAAAACAAGGCCATCCTCATCAGCAGCAGGAATTCAAGATGTGTTCCCAGAAGCCGGTATTACAGGGACCCGTGGGGTGGGGCCGGTGGGAGAGCATGCTTTTTCCGAGGCGTTTAGTTATATGGGCCTTCATCGATTACCGGGCCGGGATTCTGGCCGAGGACCAAGAGTTGGTGGGCTTGCGGGGGGCGCCTTGGGTTCGCAGTGGAACAGTTTTGGATGGAGCAAGGGAGATGGTGCTATGAAAACTAAAGCTGAGCTTCTCGCCGAGAAATATGAGGACTCTGGTGCTTTTTTTCCCGCTAGCTAATTTCGAGGAGAGCTAACTTTGTGATATTTAGAGCCAACTGAGCAGGCCCTTTTATCCTCATTACCATTTACTATGCTCGGGCTCTCCTCTTCTCATCTCCCGTTTACAACATCCAATGTATCGGCTCCGCCTTCTGGCCGCGATATTTCGACAACTCAAAAGTACGCGATTTCAATACCACCAACTTTGCCACTGCCGCTTGTGTCATTACTACATACTCTGGCAGAACCTTCGCTTCTTTATAGATGTCTCAACGAGTTTGTGCAGTCGTCATCTGAAAGCGGCACTGACGGCGGATTAGTAGGCCAATCGCTCAAGTCTGCAATTGGAATTGAGCTTCGGGGCTACATTAATCTCGTCGGCTGTTTGGAGAATGAAATCAGGAGAGCAGTTGCGGCTGCCGAGACTACTATCGGTGTAAGGACTGCGGGGGTTACGTTGAAGAGATGTGTTGTGTGGACTAGGGAGGCAACTATGGGCCTACGGCTGATGAGTTTGATAGTGGAGCAAACTGGTGGTGCGTCAATGGATTCCACCATTACCCTCTCCCCTTTCCCTAACCACAGTTTACTGAAATTGCTAGAATAGATAAAAAGGGGGGGCAACTCATTTCGACGATTCGTAGCTTTGCGTCATCGCATGGGGACCCATTCGTACATGCGTTCGCAGAGCGACTGTTGAGCCATGTTACACGACCCTTTTATGATATGCTTCGACACTGGATCTATGATGGAGAGCTTACAGATCCTTATTTGGAGTTTTTCGTTATTGAGCAGCCCAATCTTCCAGATGGAGGTGGCAACAAGGGGGGTGCTTCCTCAGTGTGGGAGGACAAATACACCATCCACTCGCCTCAAGTGCCTACTATTATGACGGAGTCGTTTGCGAAAAAAGTATTCTTAATCGGCAAGTCCCTTAACTTCATCCGACATGGTTGCAGTGATTCGGAGTGGGTAGAGAGCTATTCAAAGTCAACATCTAAGGAATTGGGATATGGGGATACTGCGAGATTAGAAATGAGCATCGACGAAGCATATAAGACAACGATGGCTAGGCTTATTGAATTAATGGGGGGCAAATTTAAGCTATTTGATCACCTTCGAGCACTCAAGAAATATCTCCTTCTCGGCCAGGGTGATTTTATTGCGCTGCTTATGGAGGGGTTGTCCGCTAGCCTGGAAAGGCCGGCGAATACCTTATATCGCCATAACCTAACAGCCCAGCTAGAACATGCGATCCGTGGGTCAAATGCACAGTTCGACTCTCCTGATGTCTTGAGAAGGCTTGACGCGAGGATGTTGGAATTAAGCCACGGAGAGATTGGATGGGATGTGTTTACATTGGAGTACAAGATCGACGCACCTGTGGATGTTGTCGTTACGCCTTACGGAAGTAGGCAATATTTGAAGGTTTTTAACTTTTTATGGAGAGTAAAAAGAGTCGAGTTTGCCCTTGGAAGTAGCTGGAGGCGATTTATGGCCGGAGCACGTGGGGTATTGAAGGCTGTTGAAGATTTGGTGGGAGCCGACTGGAAAAAGGCTCGCTGTGTTGTTGCAGAGATGGTTCACTTTGTTAACCAACTGCAATACTATATCCTATTCGAGGTAAGCCCCACGCTTTTGGTGTAAGTTTTGGGGTTTTTTCTCTCATCAGTTACTATCATGAAGGTTATCGAGTCCTCTTGGGATACTCTCCAGACGGCAATATCAAAACCGGAGGCGACCCTGGATGACTTGATCGAGGCGCATGCGAAATACCTTCAACATATCACACATAAAGGCTTGTTAGGGAGCACTAGTTCTAGGAGCAGCGGTAAAGGGAAGAGGGCAGGCACCGATGGTGATGACACTTTCATGACCCAGCTTCACGAAATATTGAAGATAATGCTAGCCTACAAAGATGCTGTAGATGGCCTTTATGGATATAGCGTTGCGGAGTATACTCGAAGACAGGAGAGGGGCCAAAGGATCGAAACAAGAACAAAGAAGGGTGAATGGGGTATCAGGGAAGCGGACGAGGAGGGCGAGGCTTCGGGAAGAGGGTCTAATCCCGAAGATATGATGCTGCCGAGTTTGCGGCAGAGATTGAAGGCACTCTCGGGAGATTTTCAAGCAAGAGTTGTAGTCCTTTTAGGTGATCTAGCATATCAGAGTGACATGGATATGAGGCTTCTAGGGGTATTGCTGAGCTTCAATGAGTATGTTCATTTTTTGCCCTCTACCCTCACGATTAAGGCTAACGGAAACAGGTATTATCCGGTTGTCAACAAAAGAAGGGCGAGGGGCGAGAAGGAAAAGCGGAATACCCCACGGACACAACCTGGCGTAAAGCCTAAAACGAAAGAGGGTTCAACAGGAGAATCTGCTGCTGGTAGTGGGGTTCAGGAAGGAGAATAGTACCACAGACCAGTTCTATTTCAAGTAGTGTCGTCATTTCATAAGTTTTCTCTTGTGTCTGGGAGCAGGCGGGGCTTTGTATTTAGATATCAATTCGCCATTAATCTTTGACCGGCAACGGTTGTTGCACGGATCCTTATGTGAGATGATTGCTTGACAACGAACGGGACAAAAGGCTGATCACCCACCATAGGCTAAAGGAGGTAGTTGAGGTATGATACAATACGGTAACTATCGTACTCAGACAACCCTCTATCCGCACGCACAAAGCTAACAGAGTGAGGAACAGAGATTGATTCTGAGTTATTCGCGCGACTAGAAGCTAATGTTGAGGTTCTGCTGACGTTGCCGAGGTCTAATCACCGGAACAGCTTGTGACGCATCCCTAGCCGATTCTTCTGGCGTCCAGTGGAGTCGGCTATGCTGACTATCATGCTGGACTCGAGGGCAGGACTGGTATCATAACTTATGAGAACTTTACTCCTAAACCCAATAAACCAGTCTACTGTGCCGGCACGAACAAGGTCAAAGTAAATAAGAAATGATCCGAAGTTACTTTGAACCCTGAGGCCAGCTCTTTTCTCACATGCTTTTTAGGCCGTAGTGTGATCCCCCATTCTGCTTTTGGACTCGCGGGAATGGTCTTGAAGACCGTTGCCAGTGCAGAGAATCCCATCCGTCCGAACCAATATGAGGACGAGAGAGCTAGCCTCTAATAAGCGCAACTATGTTTCGGATGGGAGTCTAAACGGCAGAAGCACACGGGTCACAGTGG